ACCCTAAACCCTAAACCGCCAAGGACAAAGTCTTCTGGGAATCCCGGCTCCTCCGTTGGCAGCAGCGCGGCCCAGGTTCTGAAACGTGGTGCCCTGACATCGGGTTTGAGGGGTTTTAGGGTTTGAGGGGTTTTAGGGTTTAGGGTTTAGGGTTTAGGGTTTAGGGCTTAGGGTTTAGAGTTTAGGGTTTAGGGTTTACGGTTTAGATATATAGGTGTTTTATCAGTTGCTTTAGGGTTTAGGGAAAGGGCTGAGGGTTTGGAGATATCGGGCTCAGGGTCCATATAAGTTGTTTTGGTGTTTAGGGTGTAAGGGTTCTCGCGTTCAGGGTTTGGGGTTTAGGCTTTTCTGGTTTTAGGGCTTATGCTTCTTAGGGCTTTGTAACAATCTCGTAGGGGTTTGAGCTTCTATGGTTCTAGGCCGAAAGGCCTTAAAGGCCCCAAACCCTAAACCCTAAAAGCCCTAAACCCCAAAACCCAAAGCCTTACCCTAAAACCCAAAAACCCTAAGCCCAAAATCCTAAAATTTTAAAACCCTAAACACCCTAAACACGCAGTTGCATGGTAGTGGCATGCGTCAACACCCTGAGGCTCCGTCATAAGCCATGCAATGGGGCCTGCGACGTGCTCGAGGAAGGCCAAATTGGTCATTGGAAATGTCCCACCCGCAAGCGCTGTGACGAACTCCTCCGCGATCTGAGGCCGGAAAATCAAGTCCACCCCAAAACGCCCTAAGTTGAGGGCCAGTGACTTCTTTGCAAGCTCCGGGGCATGGGGTTCGTCTAAGGTTGAACCCATGGGCCCCTAGTATGGACCCTTAAGCCTGGGATCCTTATAAACCTACTATATACCCTATATGTACCCATAAGGGTCTCTAGAAAGGCCTAAACCCTGAAGCCTAAACCCATATTAGGGGCCCATACTTCTAACCTTCGGGTTCAGAAACCAGGGGACCGAGGGCTCTTAGGGCTACTCCTCGGGGGGAGCTTGGAGCCAGACAACATCGCCATTCTAGGAGGCTTAGAGTTGAGGGTTTAGGAGTTTAGGGTCGAGGAGTTTAGGAGTTTAGGGTTTAGGGTTTAGGAGTTTAGGGTCGAGGAGTTTAGCAGTTTAGGGTTTAGGGTTTAGGAGTTTAGGGTTTAGGAGCTTAGGGTTTAGGGTTTAGGGGTTTGGGGGTTTTGGGGTGTAGGGCTTATAATAAGGTTTACCCTAAACAAAAATCGCCAAACCTTGAGGGCTGGGGCTGTCAGGTTTAGGGTTTAGGT